CCATTCCTTACCCTGATCTGCTTTCCTACGCTTCTCTTACATCCAGAGCCATTTGAATTGCCTATTCAGTAAAATAAACGGAAAAATCCTGTTAGGTACCTTGCTTAGTGAAAGTTTAAAATAAGCATAGGTTTTCCTATTTTATTATATCTATTATAGCCATCGCATCAAAGAAGCCTACTTTGATAACTACTCCTGTCTTTATTATTAACACAGTTACGCTAAGACTATGGATAAAAATAGAGCGAGGTAAAAAATGTTCAGGCAGCTTTATTTGCCTAGGTTTAGCTGTTCTGTGTTTGAATGTTCTTTAATTGTAGCAAAGATATGTTTTTTTATAATCATCATATATTTTAGACCAGTGCTCAGTGATTTTTTTTAGGATGCTAATATTTCATGTATTAATACATTTTAAAGTCATAAAAGCCAATTGTCATGATCAAAAGGATAGACTTCTTGATAACTCTAAGTAGCCCTTGTGTGAGCATGTTTCATGATAACGGTAGCTAACTTAATGTGCTGCTTTTTTATTTCCTCAGGGATCACCTGAATTACCATCCATTTTGTCTAGAGTTGCATATCACAATATTTAAAAATAAAAAAAACCATAATGGCTGTGAATCTGAGGAATTGTTTGTGAAAGGCCATTGGATTAGAGCTGTGATGGGTTTGGCTGGGATGGAGTTAACTTTCTTTACAGTAGCTGTTGTGGGGCTGTTTTGGATTGGTGCGGGAAACAGTGTTGATAGCCCAGGGATGTTTTTGTTACTGCTGAGCAGTGCTGACATACAGTCAAGGCCTTTTCTGCCTCTCACCCCACCCCACCAGTGAGTGGGCACAAGGAGTTGGGAGGGGACACAGCCGGGACAGCTGATCCCAGCTGACCAAAGGGATATTCCAGACCATATGGCATCATGCTCAGCATGTAAAGCTGGGGAAGAAGGAGGAAAGGGGAACATTTGGAGTGATGGTGTTTGCCTTCTAAGTCACTCTTACGATGGAGCCCTGCTTTCCTGGGGATGGGTGAACACCTGCCTGTCCATGGCAAATGGTGAATGGATTCCTTGTTTTGCTCTGCTTGTGTGTGCAGCTTTTGCTTTACCTATTAAACTGCCTTTACCTCAACCCCCGAGTTTTCTCACTTTTACTCTTCCAATTCTCTGCCCCATCCCACTGTGGGAGGAGTGAGTGAGCAGCTGTGTGGTGCTTAGCTGCTGGCTGGGGTTAAAGCATGACAGCGTATGTTTGAAAAGATGCTGCTTTATAGTCCAAAAGAAGGAATATGTTGCTACTTGTGCAGACACTGCTCCTGCAGTGAAAATGTTTGAATTCTGGAATGAATTTTGCTGCTTCTATATTCTGTCTCTGTATTTTGACTTTTTTCCTCCTAGTTTTTACTTTTCTAATTGCAGTTTTTTCTGTGTGCTACTTGAGAGCAAAGTCAGCTACGAAAAGCTGGACATGAGCCGGCCGTGTGCGCTGGCAGCCCAGAAAGCCAACCGTATCCTGGGCTGTATCCAGAGCAGTGTGGCCAGCA